AGTGAGGCACCTTCCAGGGTAAATATGTAGTCCTCCAATGGAGCAGGCCTCAAATCCAATTAGGAAGCAGTTGGTTACCCTCAGAATATGTTGTGCTGTTGTACCCATGGGCATATCTTGCCAGATGGTAAGTGATGTAGTATGGAGGATTGTGATCATTAATGACCCTATTCCACCAGCAGCCTGCATAGCATCTCCCTGCACTGTGACACTCGGCAGCAGGAATCTTCATAGCGTGGTTTCTCTGTGTCCTGTATCCAGAGCACATGTCTTCTGCAGCAGGGTCTTTCTTGTATAGTTCCACTGGGCATCCAGGAACAGTAGCAACAGCCTGTATTGCTTTGAGGGCTTGTGAAATACCTGGCCAACAGCTATCTTAGGGATTGCCCCACATAGTATTTTTTAACATTCTGCTATGGATGTGTGAACAAAATACTAGCCTCCTAAAGTCTCCTGATGATTATCATCATAATTGACATGCTTGGAGATTTGTTCAGTTCTGTTTATTTTCCATTCAAAGGCAGTTTTTAAAAGTTAATTTTCTCTGCCATGTATAATGGTACCTACCTGTAGTCCCTGCACTTGGGTAGCTGAGGCAAGTGGATCCTTTTGAGTTCAAGGCTAACCTAGTATACATAACAAGGTTCAGGCCAGCTAGAGCTACAGTGAGAACCTGTCTTAAAAAGCAAGTTGAATCTAGAGATCAGTTACCTGACTCCAAAGTAAAAGAATATATGACAAAATATATTCAAGGATTTTTTTTTCCTTCTTCCCTTTCCTTTTACGTAGTTACTTAGAGCTTACCATTTCATTTTCATTAGCACCACTATCCCTGTGCTGGATCTTTTTGCAAGTGTGATGAGATGTTCGTTATTCATCACTTATCTGAATGTTGGTGCCCTTCTAGGGTATTTTACAGATTTGAACATTTGACAATAGGAGTATAATCATTTGGGCCTCTCCCTTGGAAACAAGATTCTATAATGGTGATGTTTTTCTCTAATTACTTCATGCAATTTGTTTCATTTTTCAAATAGGTCATGCCTGCATTAAAAGATAAAATGTTTGCTACTTGATGTGTACTTGGGGTATGACAAGATAAAATACCCGTTTTATGAGACGATGTAAATATTCAAGAGGCAAACCACAAGCTTGAGGAATTAAATCCATTTATCGTTGTCTTATAATTATACAAATGTTAAAATTTGAGCTGTGAGGATCAAGAAGAAAAAGAAATCATGATTGATTTGAAGAATCAACATAAAACTGATTCTCCTAATTGTTTTTGGGTATTTGATCAATGTGAAATATGGAAATGACTGTCTCACTGTTTGGCATTCTAAGTACTAATACTCAAAAATAGAATTCTTCCCAAGTTTAAATACCTACGTTAGAAAAATGGAAAGCTTGATTTATTTATTTTCCATTTCCACACAACAAATAATCTTGGGATTTAACCATTTAAAGCAACAGCCGTTACTTCCTGGCGTCTTAAGGTTTTAAACAGTTCCTTCTCAGGCCTTTAAAGCTGCTGAGCAGGACAGCATCGTCTGAAGTCCTCAGTGTCTCCAGCTCACACAGGACATGTGCTCCTTTGTCAGGCAGCTTCTGCACATGCCGACACAGCATCTGACTTCCCCAGTGAGTGGTCCCAAAGAGGGCAAGGGACGGTGTGGAACACTTGTGGCCAGCCTTGGAGATCACCTGTAGTGACTTTCATATTATTTAAGTCTGCTTGTGTGTGAACAATAGATTGACTAGACGTTTAGGCCAGGTATGTCTGGGGCTTTCCATCAAAGTCAAAAGGCAGAAGTAGAAAATAGTTATACATGTCATGTCACAAATCAATTGTGCGGTTTCACAGTATTGCTGTAAAATCTCACTAATATTTTCTCATTTGTTGTAAGAAGAGATTCATTTAGCAAATGTGAGAATGTTTTTCTTATGGGTGATAGTGTGTCTAAAATCTAAAACACTTAGAAAGAAGTAAATGACTTGTGATGTAAGGAACACGTTTTTCCTCAAAGTGATTTTTCTCCATTGAATAATTTCTGCGTTCAGAAGGTCACATAAAATCCATAGGCATGATCACAGTGCTTTTCCCTATGGTGTCATGTCACCATTTAAAAGTGGCCATTCACTGTTCAGGTAAATAAGTAAGCCATTGTGAGGGAACTTTTGAACTGTGAGAGCACTTCAGTAACCTGTTATTTGGACTTCTAATTTAGATTACTGGTTTCATAGTGTTTTCACACAATAGCTGAATAATGAGGATCATTAAACCCCCTGTGCAGAACATATCCAAATTGTGTTTGCCTCTAACCTTGGAGGCTCTGAGGGCCAGGAGGCAGTACCTGGCTCTTTATTGACTTGTCAAACTGTGAGTTTGCATTACAGCTCCTGACCCATTCTGTTTGTTTCACCGATTTTGTGGTGGGGAAACAGGTAAAGAAATCCCTCTGACAGTTCCTTCTTCTGCACATTTGTATGAATAACACCAGTGTTTATAGCAGTTAGGGTACTGTGACTAAATCCCCCAAAAGATGTAACGTTAGCAGCAGAGCCAGCGTGGGGCACAGCTGTGGGCAGTATTGCTTTCTCTGTGAGACGTTGGCCCTCACAGGAAACTGCAGAGGGTTACTTACTGTGCAGTTCAATAGGAGGGAAAGGGCAGCCGGAATCCAGCATCACTCTACAATGAAATTGATTGAGTGTTTATGCTTCAGCTAATCTGGGCTGAGGGTGTGTATTATGTTGCACTACTACATGACTCTTCATATTGCTAAAACTAGATAATAGAAAATTTTTCCTTAAGAAAAAGAATTGCTTTTAAAATTGTATATTCAACTACCCAAGTCACATAGAACCTATAATCAAATAACTCAAACTCTCTCAGAAACTGTCCTTTGAACTACAAGAGTTGAGGAAGTAGGTCACTGTAGTAATTAATGCTGCCCCAACCCCTTGGAAGTAGGGTAGTTTGTTCTGTAAACCAAGTGCGCTCTCTCTCTCTCTCTCTCTCTCTCTCTCTCTCTCTCTCTCTCTCTCTCTCTCTCTCTTTCTCTCTCTCTCTCTCTCTCACACACACACACACACACACACACACATATAGCTTTACACTACACCCCACCCCTTGAAGATTTGGCATATGAACACATATATCTTCTGGAACAAGCAGCATTCAAACTATAGCAATATCTAAATAACTCATTTATTAATTTATTATTTTAGTTGCATAAACAAATAGCATGTTACCAAAGACTCACTTTCTTGTTTAGGCTGTTGATCTCCATTAACCATGAGAGAGTCATCTGTATTGTGAAACCCTCTGGTTTAGCTTGGGGCTTTATGTCCTAATGTTTATAACTAAACTGTGACCAATATTTCACTAGAACATATTGGCTAAGCCATCATTTTGTTTAAAAGTTTCCAGAAACACTTTAAATTATATATTGTTACTTTTTCATTATTTTTATTATAAGATTTATATGTTAATTACAGATAAACCAAGGGAAAGTACCTTGTAATTCCAGCTTATAGAGGCAGTTTCTGGATAGTGTGTGTGTGTGTGTTCTTTTGAACTTTTTTGTAACTACACACATAAATATTCATGCCTTCATTTTTCTTCTTAGAAAGCTTGAATTTTATTAATGTGGTATTTTGAGACAGGGTCTTGCTATGTAGCCCTGACTGTCCTGAAACTCACTATGTAGACCAGGATGGCCCTGAACTCACAGAGATCTGCCTGCCTCTGTCTCCTTAGTGCTAGGGCTACTATACCTGACTAAATAACACACTGTACACTGAGGTCAGCTTGGTCTACAGAGCATGTTCCATGATAGCCAGGCCTACACAAAGAAACCCTATCCCGTAAAACCAGGGGAGGGGGGGAGGAAAAAGGGAAGGAGGGAGGAAAGAGAGAAAGAAAGAAAGAAAGAAAGAAAGAAAGAAAGAAAGAAAGAAAGAAAGAAGGAAGGAAGGAAGGAAGGAAGGAAGGAAGGAAGGAAGGAAGGAAAAGAAAGAAAGAAAGAAAGAAAGAAAGAAAGAAGGAAGGAAGGAAGGAAGGAAGGAAGGAAGGAAGGAAGGAAGGAAAAGAAAGAAAGAAAGAAAGAAAGAAAGAAAGAAAGAAAGAAAGAAACTCTTCCACCAAAGAAATTAGCCCATTACTTTAAAATTTATCCTCGGGCAAGTTCTCAAGGTAAGAAAGCAACCAGATTCTTTTTCTCTTTTTTTTCTCCATTTCATATTTAAAAGTTTTATTTTTCATACCAACCACAGTTTCCCTCCCTTCGTTTTCCTACTTCCCCCATCTTCCTCCCATTCCACCCCACTCCCCATCCACTCCTCCGAGAAGTCTTCCCATGGGGAATCAACAAAGTCTGGCATATCAAAGTTGAGTCAGGACCAAGCCCCTCCTGTGACCCTGTATCAAGGCTGACCAAGGTATCCCTCGATAGGGAATGGGCTCCAAAAAGCCAGTTAAGGCACTAGGAATAAATCCTGGTCACACTGCCAGTCACCCCACAAACTGCCTAAGCCACACTGTAATCCACATTCAGAGCTCTGGCTTAGTTTGGTCCCATGCAGGCTCCCCAGCTGTCAGTCCAGAGTCCATGAGCTCCCACTAGCTCGAGTCATCTGTCTCTGTGTTTCCCATTCATGATCTTGACCCTTTGCTCATGTAATCCCCTCCTCACTCTCTTTGACTGGACTCTAGGAGCTTGGACTAGTGCTTAACTGTGAATCTCTGCATCTGCTTCCATCAGTTACTGGATGAAGGTTCTATGATGATAATTAGGGTAGTCATCAATCTACAGGGGAAGGCCAGTTCAGGCACCCTCGCCACTATTGCTCGGCATCTTAGCTGGGGTATCCTTGTAGATTCCTGGGAACTTCCCTATCACCAGGTTTCTCGCCAACCCCATAATGGCTCCTTCTAATAAGCTCTTTTTTCTTGTTCTCCCTCTTTGTCCCTCCCACAACTGGACCATCCCTTTCCCTCATGTTCTCCTCCCCTCCCTCACACTGACAGGAGATCTTGTCTATTTTCCCTTCCTAGGGGGATCCATGCATCCGCTTAGGGTCTTCCTTGTTAGCTAGCTTCTCTGGAACAGACAGATTCTTACCAAAATATCACATGAATGCCCTCTAGTCCAGTTGCTAATAACGTTCCTCTTTCAGACCACTTGAGCTGGGTCTTTGTAGTCCACACTATTTTCCAGGCTTCTATTAGAATAGCTTACTAAGTGCTGCTTAAAGCATTCAATCACTCTTGATTCAGTCTTCCACAGTCCTCCACAGTCCTCAAAAAAGTAACATGGTGTCTTAGGGTTTTTATTGCTGTGAAGAGACAGCATGACCATAGCAACTCTTATATTTAATTGGGGTGGCTTGCTTACAATTCAGAGGGTTAGTCCATTACATAATAAACAAATTTAACAATCTTAAAATGTTCTTAGCAGGAAATGTGGGAAGCAAGGCAGCATGCAAGGCAGGCATGTAACTGGAGTTGAGAGTCCTTACATCTTTATCCAGAGGCAACAGGAAGTATACTGTCTCACTGGGCGTGGCTTGAATATATATGAGACCTCAAAGCCTGCCTCTGCAGTGACACACTTCCTCCCTCAGGGCCACACCTCCCACTAGTGCCACTCCCTTTGGAGTTCCTTTTCTTTCACACCGGCCACACTTAGTGACGTCAGTGTGAGGCAGCAGGCCAGTCTCTACCCACTTCCGTATTAGTTATTTTGTGTTTGCTCTGATCAGATTCTATGACCAAGTCAGTTTATGGAAGAGCTTCTTTGGGCTTACAGATCCAAAGGGATGGGGCTCCACTGTGGTAGGGAGGAATGGTCACAGTGGCAGGCATGGTCGCTCAAGCAGGAAGATGAGTGATCACACCTCTAGCTATGAACATGAAGTAGGCAGAGCAAACTGGAAGCACAATGAGACTATATAATCTCAAAACCTGCTTTTCTCTGGCCATCACATAACCCTAAATAATTTGGGATGTTTTAAGTAAAGTAAACCTATACCATCTAAATCTCCCCAAACTGCCTCCAACTGGAGACCCAAGTATTCACATAGTTGAGCCTTATGGAGAACATTCTCGTTCAAAGTACAAAAAAGTAAAACATAAAAAACACCTGCAGGTTTGGTGGCAAGATAGCTTCTGGGGAGGAAGGGATTCTTCTGACTCTAACAAGACTTCCCAGTCCTTGACAGTTTACAAGAAGCTACTCAGAGCCCGGTGGTGGTGGCACACACCTTTAATCCTAGCACTCGGGAGGCAGAGGCAGTAGGATCTCTGTGAGTTTGAGGCCAGCCTGGTCTACAAGAGCTAGTTCCAGGACAGGCACCAAAACTACAGAGAAACCTTGTCTCTGGGGGGGAAAAAAAGAAGCTACTCAGAAGTGCCGCAATGCTTCTCATTTCATCAGCTGCCGAAGTCATGTCGAGACCTGTAAAGTCAATAAACGGAGTGTAAATCCAGCTACAGACAAACACAATCTGTGCATTACACATCTGTGAAAACACATGTACGTTGATGTGTAGAGTATGTCTACATATCTGATCACTGAGGGGCAATTGGAGAAAATTAAAAGTTAGCCTACGTTGCAAGAATAATTGATGATGGGCTGTGAATTCTAAGTTCATTAACTGTTTCTGGATGCTTAAAAGCAGATTTTGCAAAGCTGGGGATATAGTTCAGCTCTTAGAGTGGTTGCCATTCATGCATGAGACACAGCAAAAGAAATGAATGTGGATGGCAATATGGCTCAGCAGGTAAGGATACCTGCTACACAAACCTGACAACCTGTGTTTGATCCCTGGAACTCTCATGGTGGAAGGAGCCATCTCCAAGCAAGCTGTCCTCTGACCACCACATACCCTAAATAAACGTGTTGTTTTGTTTGTTTGTTTGGCGGGAGGCTGTGTTTTAAGTAAAGTAAGCCTATTTTGCTTCCAGACAAAGGATTTTTGTAGTAATTGTTGGAATACGTGATATATTTTAACTTTTACTTTTCTCTCTTGACAGTGTCATCAGCAAGGTGGTGCCAGCCCCCGAGGCTAAGCCAGCCCCTTCTCTGAACAGACCTAAAACCCCCCCTCCAGCCCCAGTCCCTGTTCCTGTGCGTGTGAGCCCTACTCCTCTGCCACCACCACTCCTCGCCCAGGCTACAGTGTGCCCAGCCCTGATGCCATCCCCAGCCCCTGCCCTCTCTGGATCAGGGAGTGCCAAAGCCCCAGTGCGGAGCGTGGTGACAGAGACAGTCAGTACTTATGTGGTGCGTATGTTTCTACAACATTTAAGTAAATTCTAATTCTGTGATGTTGACTCTCACAGGAAGTACTCGATAAATGGAGAAGCATTTCCATTGCGTTTTTAAGTAGTTGACTCAAAACTTACTTTACAAAGTTCACACTCAGCTACATAAATGATGTCAAATTGCTTTTATGTTGATTTGAAACATGGCTGTGTACCTAAATATAAGAAAATCAGTATATACTCTGTTATTTAAATTCATCAGTGAATTCTTACTAGAGTGAGTAAATTAGTGACTGGAGTATAATTTATGTAATAGACATAGATCTGATGGTGTTATAAGGAGGTCGCTTGTTTTTTCACGGCTGCTCAGTCCCAAAATAATCACATAGAAACCGTATTATTTGAAATACTGTTTAGCCAGTAGCTTAAGCATATTTCTGGCTAACTCATATCTTAAATTAACCTATCTCCATTAATCTGTGTATCAGCATGAGGCTGTGGATTACTGGGTAAAGTTCTGTCTATCTCCGGCGAGGCTACATGGCTTCTGACTCTGCCTTCTTTCTCCCAGCATTCAGTTTAGTTTTCCCATCCTACCTCTGTTCTGCCCTGCTCAGGCCTAAGACAGTTTATTAACCAATCATATTCACAGCATACAGAGGGGAATCCCACACCATTATGGGCCAGCTATGTTTCTTAATTATAGCACTAATTAGTTATTGTACTTTAATTGGTGAGATCTAGCATATGTTAGAACTTACATTTTAAATAGAAATGAACCATTAGACCATATTATTTTCTGAGATTCAAGTGTATTTTTTTTTTATTATTAGATCTACCAAATATGGGCTAGAGACATAGCTCAGTGGTAGAAAGCTTGCCTAGCATGTACAGGGGCCTGAGTTTAACTCCTAATATTGAAGATAGATAGATAGATAGATAGATAGATAGATAGATAGATAGATAGATAGATAGATAGATAGATGGCATTCCATCATATCGAATGACTCCACGTTGTCCTGGAACTGCACTTAGATGTTTTCCCCATAGTTAATATAATCAGATCTTATTCTAACCCCAAATGAAGTATTAATAAAGGCATGCTCTCAAAGCATAGTGAATAGACACACACAAATGTTTCATAAATGGAGACGTTAATGCTTTTGAATGACAAGCTCTTTTCTGTTGTGTTAGCCTAACCTTGTAAAGAAATGAATGACTGGCAAGTGGCAGCACAGGACCGGTGCTGTTTGTTAAGAGATATCTAATCGTGTGTTACATAGGGAAGTTTGGAAAGAAACAACTCATTAAGTATGTGAGACACTTAAAGGACACAAAGCAGTATTTAAAAAAAAAATCCTGAATGCACTCAGATAGTGCGTAGGCAGGGAAAATTAGTAATTGGCAATAATAAATTATCATATTTATCTATTATATATAATAAAAATAATCAATTGGCAATTCAAGACAGAAGATGTGATACAAAAACCTGTGAGGAATAAATTGGTCCATCAAAGGATCAATCGAGGGGTCTAATTGAGGCGTCACCCCCAGGTGAATTGGTCAGGAAAGAGTTTATACTTAATCTCTTCATCCTCCATTTGTTTATCTCTAATTAAGGGATTTGTATTAGATGCATTAATCTCTGTAGTCTTGTCTGGCTCTAAAGATTGTGGCTCTCCAGTAGACATTTGAACTGACTCCACAGAAGTGGCACCAACTGGGATAGAGCCCAAAACATCTCCTAGTCTAAATAGATACTTATTAGGACACAGAGAGACTCTGTCACTACCTGTTAGTGTGATGTTGACAGTGAAATTCTTGTAGTTCCTGTTCCCCCATTTCTAACCTATCCAAAGATTGTTTACAATGATTAAATAAAGTCATGTTTGAAAGAACTCTATACCCAAGAAAGTATTGGGTGTAACTCAGAGTCACAACCCACTAATGTCAAGAAAGGTCAGCCAGCAGCAAGACTGGCCATGCATGGTCGCTTCAGTCACTGGACACTCAGTGCCTGGTGACTACTGGTTCTTTCCCCATGGTGCAGTTTTCCCCCAAGTGAGGGCCAGCAGTCAGAGGCAGCTTCCTCCACATTCCTGTAGAAAGGGTTCAGGTCAGTGTAGTTTGCCTTTGTAGAGACTTTCAAAACTAGTAGGCCTTATAGTAAGCCCATACGTACAGAGGAGTATATCCACTTTTGATAACCCTCACAAGGAAATCACTTTCTCCCACACTTTAGTCAGTGTAGTGCTTAACGGCATAGGAGGAGGCCACCTTGCAAAATACACAGTGAGCTCATGTTGTCTTGCTATGAGGACATTTAAAAGGGAGCTTGACCCAGCGCTCTTTTATAGTATCCATGCAGAATTGATTTCAATAATACATCTGAGAAAGTCATGAAGTTAGGGACACTTACTGTTGAGAACAAAGTCAGAAATCTAGGACATGCAGTCTTTGGAGCATAATAATAATTAAGTATGTAGTTCTTTGGCTCCATGAGCCTCTTATTTCATTTGCCCTTTAGTTGATTGTACTTTTCTAAAATGTCATAAAGGGAATGGAAAGTTACTTAGTAACAGCTCTTTTATATCCTTGATCTTATCACCTAGTTGAGGAGAAGGGTTTGGCTAATAAGTAATGAGGGAATACATGCATGTTTGACTGTATGTGCTAATTCTATGCTATGAACGTGGCTGAAAAAATATGTAAAACTGAGCACTTTCAAAAATATCAGTTGTTACTGGCAGGAAGACTCATAAAGAGTTCATGAGATTATAGGAATTTCTTAGATGAAGCCAAATGTAGGCCGTGTTATGGTTTTTAACTGATTCTAGAATGCTTTGTTTTTAAAAACTTTACAGCACAGTTTAGAGTACACATTAGAAATATGTTACTCTATCCAGCTGTGGCAGCATGCACTAGAAATCCCACCTCTCAGGAGCTTGAGGCAGAGATTGGAGTTCAAGGCCAGCCTGGACTATATAATGACTGCCAAGCCAGCCTGAGCTTGTGACCTGCCTCAAAAAGAAGGAAGGAGGGAGGAAGCAGGGAGTGCGTGAGAAAGGGAGGGGAGTGGGGAGAAAGTGTGAGAGGGCCTGAGGGAAGAGAGACATTGTGTGAGAGAGAGGGAGTAAAAGGGAGAGGGAAGAAAGCATATTAGGATGAAGGGAGACAGTGAGTGGGAGAGGGAGGAAGGAGACAGTGTGTGAGAGGAAGGGGAGAAGCCATTGTTGAACAGCCAGCTAATCTACCGTATTTCCAGCTCGTAGTTTGCTGTGTTTATAGTATACATGGGCATTCTTATCTGGCCTCTTCTGGTTCTTTTTCTGCACACCGTCTGTTTTTGCTCCTCCACGTTAACATCAGATCCGCGATGAGTGGGGCAATCAGATCTGGATCTGTCCAGGGTGCAACAAGCCTGACGACGGAAGTCCTATGATCGGCTGTGACGGCTGTGACGACTGGTACCACTGGTGAGTGCCCCCCAGCACCCCAGATGCTCAGACAGCACAACACAGAGCATGCCTGAACAGGGATCCTAGCCAGCTAGTGTCTTTAGACCAGTTGAGCTACTCTCCTGAGGACAGTCAAATGGAGCCCACACAGTGAAATAACTGCAAAGTTAATTGTGCTTATATTACCGAGCCTAGAGTGTGAAGATTTTGCTTCATTTGTAAACCCTTTTCCTACTAAAATAAGTAAGAACTTGGGCGTTGGGTGAGAGCTGCTGCAGCACCTGATTGGCTGTGCTTGAGAGCAGACTCAAAGACAGCTTGTTTGTTTCTCAAGTCTCGGCTGTTTCATCTGAAGATGTTCAGCCAGAATGTGCGCAGCCTTATTTCATTCTTAAAGTACCCGTTTGGCCATGATGTTTGCTGTCTGTACAATAACAACAGAGCCAGGTATAATGGAGTTCTGGTAGTCTCAGCGCTGAATGCTGAGACCAAGGATCCTTGGTTACATGGTGAGTCTGAGGTCAGCCCGGGTTACCTGAGATTCTGTCTCACCCCTTGCCCCTTTTCCCAAATTAAAACATAAAAGTGAAGCCGTTGTATTATACTCTTCCTGACTGAAAGGACAAAAAACTTATGATTTCCCCATAGGGCCTATGCAGAGACATTGTATAATAAGATAACCCAGACACCCAACATTAGTGCTCTGTAAATTAGATCCTTAGGCTGATTTCTGGTACATGCATCATTTTTTACATTTATCTTTATTGTGGGAATGGAGCATGCTATATTGGTATGCACATCATTTTACCACATTCATGTGAGGGTTAGAAAATAACTTTTTTTTTTTTTTTTTTTTTTTTTTTTTTTTTTTTT